TCACCTTTACATTGCGCAATGAAGCCTGCATGCCGGCCCGTCATCGCAGGAGCCTCGTCTGTTGTCACCGACACCAGCTTTTCCAACGGTACCTTTGTCTCCACGAAGAAACTAGTAAAAAGTCTCGTCTATAGCCGAGCGGGGGATCCAACCCTCCGAGGCGCGCGAGCGTCTTCGGGCGCCCGCGTTCAAACCTCTAGTCTGGGCCTTTTCGGTCGGATTGCGTTGCCTCGCCTCCACCCCCGCCACTCCTGAGTTGTTGCCCCGCCTGTTCCGAGGTTTTACTGGCCTGATGACGGAGTGCGCTCGCGGCTCGCGTCTGGCGCCAACGGGAAGCGCCCGCCATTCAGAACCTGAAAACCTAGTGCGGTGCGGAGGCCTCGTCCTGGCTGTCCGCCGTGCGCCTCCGGGTACCCAACTCTCTTATGACAAGAAATATAAGAAATTAGCCATTTCTTGTAAAAAAAAAAAATGATTACAAATATATTTGAGGGGCACTTAAGGTCAACTTGTACCCAAGCGACAAGACTTTTGTCAAGGACTGTACATATATATGTAATACAACAATGTACAACTACTGCAATACAAGAGTCCTGAATTCTCCTCTACAGTAGAAGTATTATGAGTACTTCATGTATCAAACGTACCCATGTAAGCAATATGTTATTATTAGTAATGATGAGTTAGAAGTAGAAGTTCACTGTTTGGTAGATTCTTCTACTAACGTATGAATATATTTATGAGATGATCATATTTTTTGTATGAAATAACAACAGCTCTCAGATCAGTCAGAAAGAGTAAAAAGTGTAAAAAACCCTGAACTATCCCAGAATGCACTGGTTTATGATTGGTCAAATCCCAAATATCCGCCCTCAAAAACTGAGCCGAGAACAAGCTGGAACGAACCGGCAGCCGAAAAATTTGAACAGGATCGTAGCTGAACCTACGAAACGTAGTGCTGAATAAATCTAAATATACTGCATGTAACAGTAAACAGAGCGAGAAGCTCCAGGTGAGGAGGCTGAGTCGCAGATCCTCCTGAACTCTGACCGAGCAGCTGGCTTGAGCCTCCTCGTCCTAGTTCAGGAGTAACCGCTGCTGCAGGTCAGCGGTCAGGTCGTCCAGAAGTGACGCCTTCTTCTGGACGACGGCCCGAAAGGTTTGAAAGAGTTTCACACTCGTATGATCGTTCCCCAAAAACGGCCACAGTTTTCCTCCAGACTGCATGCTGTGGACCAGCTGGTGGACCACCGTCCCCTCACACAACCTGGACCAGATGAGGGACAACAAGGAGATTTCACTGTGGAGTACTTTTACTGTCGCAGAGTATTTATCACTATGGGTTTAGTACTTTTACTGTAAAACTCTAAAACTAGGCTTACAGAACTACGAACTGAGTATCTTTACTCATCAGTACTGAAAGGTTTCACTGAACAGTTTTATATTTATATACAGTATATATATTTATATTTATATATGTATATATATTTATATATAAAGGAGCTGCAGCACAGGTGTGTGTGTGTTCTGTGGAGGTTCACCTGGAGATCTGGGGCTCAGGTAAGGGGAAGCCCAGCAGCTGGTTCAGCTGGATGCCAACTTCCAGGCAGGCCTGCCACTGGTTGAAGGAGTGAGACAAGACCAGGTCCAGCTTCTGTCTACGCTGATGGTTCTGAATCTGCAGAGCTGCAACACACACACACACACACCATTTAAAGGTTGTACTGCTAGTTCTTACTATTTTCATTACATTTAACTACAATTAAATGTAACATTAAAGTGTCATGTTTGTGGTTATTAATAATCATTGGATGATCTTTATCTGTTCTATGTCTACATGTTTATAATAATCATTATATGATCTTTATCTGTTCTATGTCTGTATGTTTATAATAATCATTAGATGATCTTTATCTGTTCTATGTTTATATGTTTATAATAATCATTATATGATCTTTATCTGTTCTATGTTTATATGTTTATAATAATCATGAGATGATCTTTATCTGTTCTATGTCTATATGTTTATAATAATCATAAGGTGGTCTTTATCTGTTCTGTGTCTATATGTTTATAATAATCATAAGGTGGTCTTTATCTGTTCTGTGTCTATAT